AAGCGAGTCTCCTGCCTCAGCCTCCCAAGTAGCTGGGACTACAGGCGCCCGCCACAGCGCCGGCCATTTTTTGGTTGCAGCCATCATTGTTGTTTGGGGGGCCCGGGCTGGGGATTCGAACCCGCCACCTTAGGTGTATGTGGCTGGCGCCTTAGCCAGTTGAGCCACAGGCGCCGAGCCAAGGCAAGGTCTTGGTATGTTGCCCAGGCTGGTCTTTGAACTCCTGACCTTAAGTGATCCTCTTGCTTTGGCCTCCCAAAGTGCTGGGATTCCAGGCATGAGCCCCTGAGGCTAGCCTTATTTGTATTTTCCAGATGTTCCTTTTCTTTTTTTTTTTTCAAATGTTCTTCATAATAATGTCTGAGAATTAGAATTTTTTGTAATTTTAAAACTTGAACATTGTGGCAAGAATAAATGTTTCCTTTTGTTCTTTTATCAGGATCAGAGTTATATACTAAGACAAGGGAAATTCATAGTACTATATTCTTTCAAATGTCTTGTGTTTTTATTACTAATATTACGTTGAAAGATACCCTAGATTTTGTTGTACTTATATCATAACGTTTATCTTAAATATATTTAAGATATTAAGTAGTTTAGGTTTTCTTTAGGTATTTCGTTATGATTTGGGGGTAGGTATTTCATCTAAGAGTAAGGTACCTAATTATAGCGAATTGCTTATTCTATAAAGACTAAATTAAAGACTTACTAAATAGTAAACTAGGCTTTATGTTTCTTGGTGTCAGCCCAGTGTAGCAGTTGTTAAGGTATGATTATTCATGAGCTTTTAAATAATTATTAATACTTAAAAAATTATCTGTCCCAAGTTTGGGTTTATTTGGAGTGCCACTTTGGTATGTTCATTTGAATTTATTCAATAAAATGTTTAATATTTCTTAAGTACTAAGTACTTTGTAGACAACTGGGGACATAGCAGTGAATAAGGTAGACCCTGTACCTACTATCATTTACATTCTTGTGGTTAGAATGTAACTTTCTATTAACTTTTCTTAAAAATACTACTTTATTTTCCCCTACAGTTCTGTTAAAAATTTCTTTGTTTACTGCCAGTTTCCAGCCATCAGTGGAAACTATTACCTTGATTGTATTACTAATTGGTATCATTGGATTGACTAGCATTAGGCCCTTAATTTCCCAATTTTCTTTTAGTCTTACTGTCCTATAGTCCATCTGCTGTGTAGCATCCAGAATTATCTTTTTTTTTTTTTTTGAGACAGAGCCTCAAGTTGTCCCCCTGGGTAGAGTGCCGTGGCATTACAGCTCACAGCAACCTCCAACTCCTGGGCTCAAGCGAGTCTCCTGCCTCAGCCTCCCAAGTAGCTGGGACCACAGGCGCCCGCCACAACGCCCAGCTATTTTTTGGTTGCAGCCGTCATTGTTGTTTGGCGGGTCCGGGCTGGGGATTCGAACCCGCCACCTTAGGTGTATGTGGCTGGCGCCTTAGCCAGTTGAGCTATAGGCGCCGAGCCCCAGGATTATCTTTTAAAAAATCATGTTACCCTCTTGTTCAGCCCCTTCAATGAGTTTCCATTTAGAATAAAGTCCAGATTCCTTACAACCGTGACTTTTAAGGCTTTGAACACTGTCCTTAGCTAACTTTATCACTTTCATCTCATTTTCTGTTCCTCAAAAATGCCAACCTTTAAAGGCCTTTGCACTGGCTGTTGCCTCAATTTGGGATGAGTGCTCTTCCCTTAAATCTTTTAATGCTAGACCGGTTCTTTACATATTTACATATGGTCTAATGCTAGACCGGTTCCTTACATCATTACATATTCAGCTAGAATGACACTATTCAGAAATGCCTTCTTTGTTAATTTCATCAAAAGTAGTTTACTCCTCCACAAAGCACTCCTTTTAGCATTTTACTTTGTTTTATCTTCTTTATAGCACTTAGCACTCTGAAATTATTTTGTTTATTAATCTGGTTACTTGGTTATTTTTCTTTCCCTGTATATATGCTCCTGAGAATAGAGACCATGTCTGTTTTATTTACTGTTGTGTCTCCAGTGCTCATCAGAGCATTTTATCTTATATACTTTCTATGAATATTAAAGAATGAATAGAATACTCTCTTTCTGTATGTAGTATAATTTAAATATTTTATGTGGCTTTGAAGTACCTGAGTCTGTGTGATGTTGATGCATATCTTGCTTATTTGACTTGGTCACATTCTAGCTAAAATCAATTATTATTGATCTGTCTTCTTATTTCTGAAATGAAGATGCAAAACACAGTAGTTCTGATGGAGAATTTGTACCTCAGACACGTCCGCGTAGTAACACTCTTCCAAAAAGCTTTGGCTCTTCGCTAGACCATGAAGGTGAAGAAAATGAAGATGAATCTCGAGTCATTCAAAAGGAGAAAAAACCATCAAAGGAAGCAACCCTTGAACTAATTCTGAAAAGACTGAAAGAAAAACGTGTTGAGAGGTGTCTTCCGGAAGATATCAAGGTAATCCTGAGCTGTGATTTTTTTTCCCCAGACTATCTTACAGAATTCCTGAAACAAAAGTATTACCACAGCAGGATTGAGATGTTTGGGTAGTCCAGCTGGCCTGAGTCTGGCTCTCTCAAGATGGCAGATTAAAAAACACGCAAAAGCATACTGAAAGTGCTAAATCTTTTAGGGATTGAGTCACAATAACAACACTAAAAGAACTGAAATGTTGAATAGATCATTTAGATTAGAGGTAGTTGGCTAGGTGAGTGTTTAAATAGAGTGTGAAACAGACCTGAGTTTGAATCCTAGTTTTACCTCTTAACAGCTATCTTAGCTTATGCCAGACATGGATTGTATGCACTCTGTCATTCATCCCTTTAATAATTGTATGATGTTTATGGATGTGATTTATGTCTGTTAAAAATATTCTAACTTGATATGGTGCTTATGAGGATTAAAGGGTTTTTTTGTTTGTTTTTTGTTTTAAGAAACATTCTTACTCAGTAAAACCTGTGCCTTAGGTAGTCCTGATGAAAGCACTTGGTAACCCAAATCCTGTATCAGATGAGATTTGCTGGGAGCGTGGTGGCAGATGGTCTCAGGTCAATTTTGTCCTGGTAATGGTGAATTATAAAGCACATTTTAATCTTGACAACAGAGTACACCTTTCTCATGAACTAAATATTAGAGTCTTGGTTTTCCTTGAATAGAGTTGAATTAGTCATTCTCATTCATCCCTCTCTTTTTTGTTCAATTTTAAGTTTCTTGTTAGAATAGCCCTTACCCCCACCCCAGCTATTTTGATTGGATTAACTTAATCCAAATCCCTTGTCCTAGGTTTAATGGTCAAGCTTGAGATTGAAATCACAGTCACTTACAGAATCTATACTTAGCTAACTTCTACTGAATCTATATAATCTAAAATTATATTTGTTATAGGAAGATACCCAGCGAATTTTTTTTTGGTTTCTTAATTGTACTCTGGTAAGAGACAATTAACAAGTCTGAAAATAAATACAGAATTTATTTGGTCTAGTGTTGATAGGTATTCTGTGGAACATTGACTCGTTGAGATGCTAGTAAGTGATCCTATGAAACATATGGGAAGGTAATGTAGACAAATAAATTTGGGAAATCCTGCTTATTCTACCATTTAGAATACTTAAAAGATGAGAAGAGAGTTGTGTAGTATAAAGAATGTGCCAATGCAAATAAATAAAAACTGAGGGTAGAAGTCTAACGTTACAAATTAATGGTGTTGAGTTATATTTCTTGTTTGTTTGGGGAAGAAACAGTCTTGCTCTGTCACCTGGCCTAGAGTATAGCCGTGTAATCATAGCTCACCATAACTGCAAACTCCTGGACTTGAGCAATCCTCTGGCCTCAGCCTCCTGAGTATCACAAGTAGCTAAGACTAGAAGCATGTACCACCTTGCCCCAGCTCATTTTTAAAAAAACTTTTGGACTTTTTTGTCCAAGTCTCCCTATGCTGTCTAGGCTAGTCTCAAACTCTTCGCCTCAAGCAGTGTCTCTTGCGTCAGCCTCTCAAAGTGAGACATGAGCCACTGTGCCTAGCCCAGATTTTCTTAATAATTGAGGAGAAATACTGGATTATAAAATCTGTTGGTGTATGTATGGGGTGTGAATGTGTACCCAGTTGTTTTAATGCTAATGAAATGTAAAACATTTAAATAACAGGCAATTTTGTATATTTATTGTGTGCCTTACATATATTCACTCATTTAGTCCTCAGAGAGCCCTTTGAGATAGAACGAAGTATACCCATTTAACAGACTGGGATATTGGACAAAAGCTAAATAATTTATTTAAGCCAGTGTTCATAATTTATTCATATAAAATATAAATCATACTATCAAAGGAGGTTGGTACCTACTTACTAGAAGATCAGATTCTATAAGAGACTGAAAATTTTTGTTTGCAAATCAATAAGCAAAGGATGATTAGTCTGTAGACTGGTTATGGTCTGTCCTTTCAACCTAATTATTTACCTTGTGGGAATGAGAATAATAACAGTGCCAATGGTTTTGTTTGTTTGTTTTAATTTCAGAAAATGACCAAAGATCATTTGGTTGAAGAGAAAACCTCTCTCCAAAAAAGTCTTCTTTATTATGAAAGTCAACATGGAAGGCCGGTAATGTCTTTCGTACTGAAAAGATTTTATTTTCTAATATTAAAGAATATGAATCATTTTTTGTGGCCCACATTCTTCAGAGCTGTTTTGTAAAGCATTGTTTTCTACACTTGGGGGATTGCTTACTTAGTTAATATAAAATTTTAAACTGGGGGTGGAAGTTGTTGTTCAATGTTTTGTATACTTTAGATTTCTTACAACTAGGCAATTTCCTTTTTTCTCGCTGCAGGTGACCAGAGAAGAAAGACACATTGTTAAACCTCTCTATGATAGATATAGGCTTGTAAAGCAGATGCTCACGAGAGCTAGCGTCACTCCTATCCTTGTAAGTCAAACAACTCTTCAGTTAAAGAGTACCAAGATGTACTCTTCAAATTAAAAAATTATTTTTGGTGGTATATTGGAGAAATACACAGCCGAAGTAAGTTAATCTAATCATAAAGTTAGACAAGTCAATTAAAATAATGCTTTATTCATCTTTGTGTATATTTTTAGAGGAAAATGAAAACTAATATTTAAGTGCAGATTAAGTGTTATGCCCAAATTAGCAGGTAGTTTGACTTTCAATAAATTTGTTGTATTGTCCATTATAATTAGCCCATTCTACATTTTTCCTAGAAATTCAATGGAGCTTACGGGTTACTGTGGCTTTTAGGTTATTTTTATGTATAGTCACTTAATGGAGGCTTCCTTCAGACATTAACTACCCAATTAACTACTTATTAACTAATCAGCACATTTTGTTTATCCCTTATATAAACTGATTCTTTTTTAGTTGACCTTTTTTTTCTTTTTTTTTTTAGTTTGCCTTCTCAACATTATTTTATTTAGATATAATCAGTTTTCTTTAAGCAATGAATTTTGTATATTATAAATTCTCACTTAAGATAGTTCATTTATCCCTTAATTGCCTGATATTTTTTGTCACATTTCATAATTTCTTAATAGTGTAGGGTTTTTTTTGTTTTTGAGACAGAGTTTTACTCTGTCACCCTCAGTAGAATGCTGTGGCATAACAGCTCATAGCAACCTCCAACTCATGGGCTTAGGCGATTCTTCTATTTCAGCCTCCCGAGTGGCTGGGACCACAGGTACCCATCATAACGCCCAGTCATTTTTTGTTTCAGTTTGGCTGGGGCCAGGTTTGAACCCACCACCCTTGATATATGGGGCTGGCACCCTACCCACTGAGCCACAGGTGCTGCCTCAATAGTGTAATTTTTTGTACTCTTTTTTTTTTTTTTTTTTTTTTTTGAGACAGAGCCTCAAGCTGTCCCCCTGGGTAGAGTGCCATGGCTTCACTGCTCACAGCAATCTCCAACTCCTGGGCTCAAGCGAGTCTCCTGCCTCAGCCTCCCAAGTAGCTGGGACCACAGGTGCCCCCCACAATGCCCAGCTATTTTTTGGTTGCAGCCGTTATTGTTGTTTGGCGGGCCTGGGCTGGATTCGAACTCGCCACCTTAGGTGTATGTGGCTGGCGCCTTAGCCACTTGAGCCAGAGGCGCCGAGCCTTTTGAAGTTATTTATAGAAAACCATTTTAGAACTCCATAGGTTTGTCTTTTAAAACTGAGCTATAGGAAGCATTTCTGGTTTTTTGGTTTATTGGGGGTTTTTTTTTGAGACAGAGTCTCACTATGTCATCCTCAGTAGAGTGCTACGGCAACATAGCAAATTCAAACTCTTGGGCTTAAGCAATTCTCTTGCCTCAGCCTGATGAGTAGTTGTGACTGCAGGTGCCTGCCACAATGCCAGGCTATTTTGTTATTGTCATTTTGTTTAGCAGGCCTGGGTTGGGTTCAAACCCACCAGTCCCAGTGCATGTAGCTAGTACCCCAACTACTGAGCTACAGGTGCTGAGACAGCATTTCTGTTATTTATAGATCCTTAAATACGACTATTATAAAGAGAAATTTGGAGTCTAAAAGTTAAGTCAAAGCCATTTGACAGGAAATAATTTTTTCAACAAATGATGCTAGGACAACTGGATGTCTGTGTACAAAAGAATGAAGTTGGTTCCTTAACTTATACCATATTTTAAAAGTAACTGAAAATGGGTTATAGACTTAATCGTAAGAACTAGAACTATGAAAAATATAAGAGTAAATCAGGACTTTGGCTTAGAGAATTTTTTTTTTTAGATATGACACCCCAAAACACAACAACCAAAAAAAAACTAGACATTATAAAAATTGAGAACTGTGCATCAAAGGACTCTCTTAAAGGAAAATGAAAGCAACCCACAGAATGGGGAAAATGTTTGGAAATCATATATATACCCTGATAAGGGTCTTGTATCCAAAAATATAAAGAATGCTTACAACTCAAAAGTAAAGAGATTTATTTAAAAAAACAAGCAAAGAATTTGAATAGACATTTCTCCAGAGAGGATAATATAAATGACTCATAAGGATGTGATAAGATGTTCGATGTCATTAGTCATTAAGGAGATGCAAGTAAAAACCACATTGAGATACTATTTCATACCCACTAGTATGGCTATAATCAAAAAGATAAGAATGTTGGTAGAGATGCTGGTGGGAATGTAAACTGGTGCAGCTGCTATTTGACAGTTCCTCAAAAGGTTAAATATAGAAATATAGAAATGGTGATTACTCTGTGAATCACCATTTCCCCTCCTAGGTAAGTTCCCAAGAGAATTGGAAGTATATGCCCATATAAAAACTTGTATACCAGTGTTCATGGCATTATTTTTTATAACAGCTAGAAAGTAGAAACAACCCCTTTATAAATAAGTAAAATTGGTATGTTCATACACTGAAATACTATTCAGCCATAAAAGGTATGAAATATTGATACATGTATATGCTACAACATGAGTGAACTTAAAAATGTGCTAAATGAATACACATTTAATGCAATCTCTATTAAAGCACCACTGTCATACTTTAAAGATTTGGAAAAAATAGTACTTCTGATTCTTCTAATAGTACTTGCCTCAAGTACTATCAAAAAACCTTGAATAGCCAAGACATTAGTCAGAAACAAAAACAACTCAGGAGGAATCATGCTACCAGACTTTAGGCTGTACTATAAATCTGTAGTGATCAAAACAGCATGGTACTGGCACAGAAATAGAGAGGTAGCTGTATGAACAGAATAGAGAGCCCAAAGATGAACCCAGCTAGCTACTTATTGTCATTGGATCTTTGACAAGCCTATCAAAAACATAAATTGGGGGAAAGATCCCCCCCCCCCAATAAATGATGCTGGATGAACTGGCTGGCAACTTGTAGAAGACTGAAACTGGACCTCCACCTTTCGCCCTTAACTAAAATTGATTCTCACTAGATAAAAGATTTAAACTTAAGACATCAAACTATAAAAATACAAGAAGAGAGTGCAGGGAAACACTTGAAGAGGAGAATATTTTATGAGGAGGACCACCACCACCACCACCACCCCCCCGGCAATTGAAGCAACATCAAAAACACATTATTGGGATCTGATCAAACTAAAAAGCTTTTGCACAGCCAAGAGCACAGTAAGTAAAGCAAACAGACAACCTTCAGAATGGGAGATTTTTGTAGGTTATGCTTCCGATGAAGGTCTGAAAACTAGAATCTACAGAGAACTCAAATTAATCAATAAGAAAAGAATAAATAACCCCATTTCTATGTGGGCAAGAGACTTGAACAGAAACTTCTCTGAAGAAGACAGGCTCGTGGCTTACAAACACATGAAAAAAATGCTCATCATCCTTAATCATCAGAGAAATGCAAATCAAAACCATTTTGAGATATCATCTAATTCCATTAAGATTAGCCCACATCACAAAAGTCCCAAAACTACAGATGTTGGCATGGCTGCGAAGAGAAGGGAATGCTTCTACACAAGCTAGTGGGAATCCAAGCTAATAAGACCTTATTGAAAAGAAGTTTGGAGAACACTCAAGGAACTAAAAGTAGACCTACCATTCAATCCTGCAATTCCTATACTAGGTATATACTCAGATGATCAAAAATTATTTTACAACAAAAACATTTGCACCAGAATGTTTATTGCAGCCCAATTCATAATAGTCAAGACATGGAAACAGCCCAAGTGCCCATCTACCCATGAATGGACTAACAAATTGTGGTATATGTACACCATGGAATATTATGCAGCCATAAAAAGGTGGAGACTTCACATCTTTTGTGTTTACCTGGATGGAGCTGGAACATATTCTTCTTAGTAAAATATCTCAAGAATGGGAAAAAAAGTATCCATTGTACTCAATACTACTGTGAAATCGATATATAATCACCTACATACTCATATGAATGGCAAAAAAGTGCTAAATGAAAGAAGCCTAACAAAAAAGGCCACATATTGTATGGTCTCATTTACATGAAATATTTATAATAGGCAAGCCCATAGAGACAGAATGTTATGTGATGGTTTGCTAGGAGCTAGGGAGAGAAGTACAAGTGACAGCTAATTGGCACAGAATTTCTTTTAAGGTGATGAAATGTTCTGAAATTAGTGGTAATGGTAGCCCAACCTTGTGAATATACTAAAAACCACTGAACTGTACATTTCAGAAGGGTGGATTTTATGGTATGTAGTTATATCTTAATAACTTTTATGTTTTTATTTTTTTTATTTATTGAGACAGTCTCACTGTGTCACCCTCAATAGACTGCCATGGCATCACAGCTCACAGCAACCTCAAACTCTTGGGCTTAACCGATTCTCTTGCCTCAGCCTCCCAAGTAGCTGGGACTACAGGTGCCTGCCACAACGCCGGCTATTTTTTTGTTGCAGTTGTCATAGTTATTTTAGCTGGCCTGGGCCAGATTCCAACCTGCCAGCGTCCGTGTATGTAGCCAGCATCATAACCACTGTGCTGTGGGCGCCAAGCCAACCTTTATTTTTTTAAAAATGGGTCCTCAGACTAAAAATGTTGACAGCTATTTTATTTTTATTTTTTATTTTTTAGAGACAAGAGTTTCACTGTCGCCCTCAGTAGAGTGCTATGGTGTCACAGCTCACAGCAACCTCCAGCTCTTGGGCTTAGGCAATTCTCTTGCCTTAGCCTTCCGAGTAGCTGGGACTGCAGGTGTCTGCCACAGCGCCCGGCTATTTTTTTGTTGTTGCGGTTTGGCCGGGTTGGGTTTGAGCCCTCCATCCTGGGTATATGGGGCTGGCACCCTACTCACTGAGCCACAGGTGCTGCCCTGACAGCTATTTTTAAAAAGAAGTGCTTCCAATTACAGTATATGTTTTTTTGTTTGTTTTGTTTTGTTTTGAGACAAGAGTCTCACTTTGTCACCCTTGCTAGACTGCTGAGTTGTCACAGCTCACAGCAACCTCCATCCAGCTCTTGGGCTTGGGTGATTCTCTTCCCTCAACCTCCCGAGTAGCTAGGACTACAGGTGCCCACCACAATGCCCAGCTGTTTGTTGTTGCAGTTTGGCTGGGGCCAGGTTTGAACCCACCACCCTCGGTGTATAGGGCAGATGCCCTACTCAATGAGCCACAGGCGCTGCCCATAAAGCATATGTTTTTATCATTTATAATTTTTAAAATGTTTATTGAATGAGCTCTTTTAGACAGTTCTAGACATAAATGATCATTTATCTATTGTGATAAATGTGACATTTATCAAATAAATAGAGAAATACAAGCAAAAATAAATTTATTAAGTAATTCCAAAAAGTATTTAAAAGCAAATGTTTATTTGATAATAAAGTTTGATAATTAGTAACATAATGAAGTGGAACTTCTTTGGACACTTAAAATGTAAAGCTATTTATATTATTGACTGTTATAGGGATCTCCATCTACTAAGCGAAGGGGTCAGATGTTACAGCCAATCATAGAAGGAGAAACTGCACATTTTTTTGAAGAAATCAAGGTAATTCTTTAAAGAAATTATTCTCTGAAGTCTTTTCTAAAGGAAAAATTGGAAGTCACAGCACATTTGATTCTCTGGATGTCTTTTAGGAAGAAGAAGAAGATGGTGTTAGTTTGTCCTCTGAGTTAAGTGATATCTTGAAAACTGCTGTACAGGTACACTCTTCTTTGGAAAACTCAGAATCTGATGTTGAAGAAAATCAAGAAAAACTGGCTCTGGATCTCCGATTGTCAAGTACTAGAGCAGCTTCTATGTATGTATGCTGGTTTGTGATTTTAGTCTATTCGTATAACAAAATGTACATGTCAGGAAATTTGATGTTAAATAATTGTGTACTTAGAGGGATTAATACAAGAGATTCATCAAGAATTAAGTGGTAACCGGGTACAGTGGCTCATGCCTGTAATCCTAGCATTCTAGGAGACCAAGGCAGTTGGCACAAGTTTGAGACTAGCCTGAGCCAGAATGAGACCTTATGTCTATAAAATAGCTGGGCATTGTGGCAGATGCCTGTAGTCCCAGCTATTTGGGAGGCTGAGGCAAGAGAATCTCTTGAACCCAAGAGTTTGAGGTTATTGTGAGATATGACACAGTGGTACTCTACCAAGGGTGAGAAAGTTTGCCCATTTGAGTGACAGGTTGCCCATTTGAGACTCTGTCTGAAAAAAAAAAAAGAATTAAGGGATATGCTCTTCTTGATTTACAAATTAATGTGGTCTACACAGTGTCTTTTTTTTTTTTTTGAGACAGAGCCTCAAGCTACTCCTGGGCTCAAGCGAGTCTCCTGCCTCAGCCTCCCAAGTAGCTGGGATCACAGGCGCCTGCCACAATGCCTGGCTATTTTTCGATTGCAGCCGTCATTGTTGTTTGGCGGGCCTGGGCTGGATTCGAACCCACCACCTTAGGTCCATGTGGCTGGCGCCTTAGCCACTTGAGCCACAGGCACCGAGCCTACACAGTGTCTTGATTAAACAGTATGTTTCAAAAGTTAAAAAATAAAACAACCTTATATTTGAAAAGTACAGAAACCAGTTGAGAGTTTACGTTAGTTTCTTTTATATCAGCTTCTTCTTTTTTTTTTTTTAGACAGAGTCATAGCTCATAGCAATCTCAAACTCTTGGGCTTGAGCAATCCTCTTGCCTCAGCCTCCTGAGTAGCTGGGACTACAGGTGCCCACCACAATGCCCTGCTACTTTTTTGTTGCAGTTTGGCCTGGGCCGGCTTTAAACCTGCCCACCTCCATATATGGGGCCAGTGCCCTACTCATTGAGCCACAGGTGCTGCCCACAGTTAGTTTTTCTATTTTGAGTAAAGATGGGTCTTGCTATTGCTCAGTCTGGTCTCAAACTCATGAGCTCAAGCAATCCACCCACCTCAGCCTCCGGGTGCTAGGATTACAAGCATGTGCATCCAGCCTATATCAGCTTCTTTACCTTTGAATTGAACATGATACTTGTTCTCACCTAAGAAGATTATTTTCTAAAAAGTTCTAATGCTGAGCCCTACCTTCAGCTATTCTGATTTAATGGGTTTGAAGTAGAACTCAGGCATTGGTAGGTACTAAAGATTCCTAGCTGATTTTGATTTGTAGCCAGGGCTGGAACTACTGTTAAGAATACAATCAGTCTCGCCCTTCAATCATGCTTTTCTTCTATTTTAATTTTAGGCCTGAATTACTGGAACAACTATGGAAAGCCAGAGCTGAAAAAAAGAAACTACGTAAAACATTGCGGGAATTTGAAGAAGCATTTTATCAACAAAATGGAAGGTTTGTTGATAATGAAATCATCCTTCTCCTATAGCTTATAAGTGCCCATACATTAAATAGTGTAATATATGAGCTTAGAAAGAAATTGTGCATAGGAGATGTTAGCATTGGAAATAACTTAAAAACATTCCTTTATGCTCTGAAGCCCTGCTATTAATGGCAGGGAAAAATCAGAGCTGCTGTAACGTCTGATAAACTATTTTTCCCTATTATCCTAGAGAGCCTTGGTTGTCTTACAGTGATTTTATATTTTTTAATTCTGTATCCTTACCCTTTTGGAAGTGGTTATGAAATGAGATTTTTCTCATTTTTGAAAGGGTCCCAGTACAAGAGTAGTATCCTCAACTAGTTTGGATGTTTAATTTTCATGGTAAGACCATTGTGCTTAGGCTACATGTTAAGTCATTCCAGGTTGCCCATTTCCAAGAGATGTGACAGTGTGACAATCATGTGGCTCCTATAATAATGTGGAATGTGCTTTTAACTAACTGAGAAATGCACATTGACCCTGAGTGGTCTTTTAAAACTCAGAAAAATAAGGAAAAATGAGGCTAGGCACGGTGGCTCACACCTGTAATCCTAGCACTCTGGGAGGCTGAGGTGGGTGGATTGCCTGAGTTCATGGGTTTAAGAGCAGTCTGAGCATGAGCAAGACCCCACCTCTAAAAATAGCTGAGTGTTGTGGCAGGTGCCTGTAGTCCCAGCTACTCAGGAGGCTGAGGCAAGAGAATCATTTGAGCCCAAGAGTCTGAGGTTGCTGTGAGCTATGATGCCATGGCACTCTATACAGGGGCAACAAAGTGAGACTCTGTCTCAGAAATAAACAACAACGACAAAAACTCAGAAAAATATATTCTATCAGATTGTAGCCAGAAATAAGGATTAAGTTATCTCAAGCTACAAAAAAACAGTTTTCCAAGTAACTGGGTAGTCTTTTTTTTTTTTTTTTTTTTTTGCGACAGAGCATCACTATGTTGCCCTCAGTAGAGTGCTGTGGTGTCACAGCTCACAGAAATCTCAAACTCTTGGGCTTAAGCGATTGTTTTGCCTCAGCCTCTCGAGTAGCTTGGACTATAGGTGCCCACCACAACACTCGGCTATTTGGGGTTGCTGTTGTTGCTGTTGTTTGGCAGGCCCAGGTAGGTTTGGAACCCGCCATCAATGGTGTTTGTGGCTGGCATCCTACTCACTGAGCTATGGGTACCAAGCCAATAACTGGGTAGTCTTAACCAAGCTGATAGCTAATATTATAAATTTCAAAGTGTGTTCCCTCTAAATTCCCTCTGCTTTGTGAGTCTCCTGTATAGGTTAGCATATATGGTTAAGAAAATTTGAAGTTCACGAACGCGTTTTCCCAAGTGCTTTCTATTTCTTTATATTACTGGAAGAAAATTTTGTTTATAATTATACTAGGATAGTTTGATGCTTTAGCTAGTGATTAAACTTAATTGCATGGGGTCATTAATATAAAGTTAGGATAGTAAACTACTTTTTTGTTGCAGGTAAGATGGTTTACTTTTACATCTTAACTTTACTGGGGCTACAGTTAACTAAATTTATGAAATCACTCAGTGTAGCCTTATGGCACTTAATACATACTTACAGACCTGGCAGAGTGTAGCAGTAGATACCTTATTAAAATATGGTTACCTTCAGTCTTTTTTTTTTTTTTTTTTTTTTTGAGACGGAGCCTCAAGCTGTCCCCCTGGGTAGAGTGCCATGACCTCACAGCTCACAGCAACCTCCAACTCCTGGGCTCAAGCGAGTCTCCTGCCTCAGCCTCCCAAGTAGCTGGGACTACAGGCGCCCGCCACAGCGCCGGCCATTTTTTGGTTGCAGCCATCATTGTTGTTTGGGGGGCCCAGGCTGGGGATTCGAACCCGCCACCTTAGGTGTATGTGGCTGGCGCCTTAGCCACTTGAGCCACAGGCGCCGAGCCACCTTCAGTCATTTTATACTGATCTTTGATAGGAAGTAATAGCATCATTTAATCAGTAGAGAAATCAATCAAAAATAGAAGCATTTTAGGAATGTTTCTTGGGAAGGGGGAATTAGAGAATGAGTCCAATAACCTTTTTGCTTACAGAACAACTTTTTATTTGAACATCACAGATATTATTTTCTTCCCTAGGAATGCCCAGAAAGAGGATCGTGTTCCAGTGCTGGAAGAGTACAGGGAGTATAAGAAAATAAAAGCCAAGCTTAGGCTTCTTGAAGTTCTTATAAGCAAACAAGATTCTTCAAAATCCATATAAAGTGTGCTCCTTGAGAATTCATATCATAAAGTCAGTTGTATTTCTTGAAGCTTATCATCGTGTATACTTGGCTGGTACTTGTTTATTTTGTCAGGCTCTCAGAGAATCTCATTTTTTACTTGGTTGTGATGCCACTAAACAAATGATGGGAGGGTAATGGGCCCTCTCTAGGCATTATTAATGATGTTGCCTATTAACCACAGACTGTCCTCTACACCTTTAGCTGACATACAGTTTCCTTCATTGTTTTTTACTACAAATAAATCCTTTTAGCAAAAGACTAGGATTTTATCCTTTCAACTTCAAGAACTTTGGAAATACAAGCTTTTTGTTATTACCAACTTTTTGTTTTTCATTACTGAAGAAAATTGAGAGGAATATCTTCACACTGAATTTCTTCGGTTGCCTTTTCTTACAGAATGACTGAAAATTTGAAAGAAAAGCCTATAAAAGTGCACATATGGAACTATGTTCTGTGTTTTCCTAGAGAACCAAAATCAAACTGAAATTTCAAGTCCTACTGTGGAACACCTTTCTGTTTAATTCCCAAAGTGACACCTTACAGGTAGTATGCTAGCAAGATATTGCAATTCAGTGGTCACACAGCTCCTGGATGAAGATAACAGTGGGTAGACCAAAAAGTGACCTTGCTATATTGAAAATACATACTATACATCATACACAGAACTGAATCATATCACATGCTGCCTATGGGACTTAAGTTATTCTTTGTTTCCTAAGTTACTGTTTATCAGCTGATGATGATGTGATTTGTCTGGAGCAGATCCTGTGCAGCCTCTCCACTCGCCCCCAACCTCCCCCACCTTCCACATAATGTGAGAAAATAGCCATGTCAGTATGGAGGAACTCCGATGGTGCTCAGATTTGTGTGTTCAATAGATGGGCCTAAACTGGCAAAATAATTATTTTGCCTAAAGCAAATCTGTTCTTAACAAGGGCTATACCACTGCATTTTTACATACCTTTAGAAGGTTGCATCTTTTCCACCTACTTTTAATCAGCAAAATCCATACAAAAAACACCCTCTGAAGGAACCACCTTTTGCTCTATCACATGCTGCTTAAAGCAGCTGTTTACAGGGTGTGTAGTGGTATGCCCCTTGTCATATACTCTTAGCATATCCTTTTTCCTTTGCCTTTGCATGGCTTTTCTTCAGGTACTCTCCTGGTATCATTCTGCTAATTATTTTTACAGAATGGTGACTTCTTTTGTGCTAACAATATAATAGCAGATTTGGGTGAGACTTAAGCTAAGTGTTAATTTTTTTTTCTGGTGCTTATCTGGATTGATAACTGTTTCACTTTGACTGTACCCATGTTTTGCATGCAGTGACTCATGCATGGTTTTCTTAACTAATAATTATACTAATTTTTTCCATATAAAAATGGAAATTTGCAACATCCTTTAAGGATGAGGGAAGCATGAACCTCAGACTTCTGGCACTATTACATACTAAGCACATGAAGTAGCTTGTTATTGAATAGTGACTCTAGTACTTCACATTTCACCTGTGTGTGCAATGCCTTTTTTGAGGGGAGGGAAAATCTAGTAGTGAATGTATAATTGGGGAATAAAAAAAGCACTAAATCCAGCCCTTTTTTGTGTGGTTTCCTTTTGATACAACTAGATTATCTATCCATAACGTATACTTAGAAAAATAAAATTGAAAACACCGTAATTGAAATCACTTCAATTTGAATCCGTTATGCAGTGTACATTTCAATTAATATCTTTTGTTCTCCAGACAGGAGTATATCCAAACATCTAATTTTATGTGCACTGTGTATTTTATATGAATGTTTTATTTTATATACCACATTGCAAAAATGTCCATATGCACTATTTAAATGTTTTAAATAATATATTCCTTCTTTATAATGCTAAATCTATATGAGGACCATATTTTTATATAAGTCATGGCCTGATTGGTTTCATTTTAGAATTAACAGCTGCTTCATGATGTTATTCAGTGTTAATGTTTGACTGCAAATAGAGTAGATAGTAGTGGCATGGCAGCACTTAATGCTATGTGACAGTATGGTATGTCATAGTTATAAGTAGTAGGTGGTAGAATTAGCTGGTTTGTGATAGTTTTACTTTGGTACAAATAAAAACTCTATATACAAGTAATATATATATGTCTACTAGTATAATTGCATTGCTGTGTCTGGCACTTCATTGTACAGACTTTTGTAATAAAAGAACTTGAATGTTCTAAGTCATTGTAAATGTATGTTTGTTTTTCCAGTAGATGTTAAAAAGAAAAAATATAGACCTTAAGAGTTCCCTCACTCACCCTTATTTTTTTTAGGCTTTGTTCAAATTACCCTATCTAGGAACCATGTTAGGGGACAACAGAGTTACTCAGCTAATTGGCTAGTTATAGCTATTGAAGGTGGTAAAGCAGGGAAAGGGCATGTTGTTGAGTCTTTGGTGGATATCAGAGTAGAAGCTACACAAAGAATAGTTAGCATTTCTTGTTGCAGTGAATTCTCCTATTAAGAAAACGTGATGTACAGTCTCTTAAGAGAATAGCTTGGCCTGAGGAAGGTGAGTAGTAATTTTAAAATATTTTTATTCAAGTTTTAAAATCCAGGGACTGTTGAGCACCAATGTGGAAGTTGTGTGCTATGGTCAAGTGATGGTGTTTGGGCTAAGAGGATATATGGCTGTTCTATGGGGTCTTATGTAGCCTAGAAAAATTAGAAGAGTTTCTCTCTAAGTTCTAAAATGCCAGCCATCTAAAACTTCCCAACTATACCAACAGGGCTCATAGACTTTCCAGACATAACTTGTGACGCTGATACTCCTACCTACCCTGCTCTTTATTTTATTCATGGGAAATAACTTCAAACTGCCTAGGTGAATTTCAAGTTTGAAGATAATTGCGAAATTTCTGTAGGTGGTTGGGGAGTTGGTTCTACATTTTGACTTTTTCAGGAGACTTCACATTCTAAAGAATGGAGGGAGATTATTTTACTTGGGCCAAAGGAAGTCAGAACAAGGTACACGAGGCACTTGAAAACTCTAACTCTTATACTTCGCAGCCGTAAGAAAACTTTCTTTGCTTACTCTATTGAACTGTTAGAGACCTGCCCCATGAACCATAAGCATTATTTTGTACTTTCCTTCACATTCCTAGAATTTAATAATAAAATCATTCTAAAATCCTTTGTGTGTAAGCCAGTGTATGTATATTGGAAGAATATTGTAATATGCATGGATTGTACAGTGGATCTCATTGTATAATTAGGGACACTTAATTCCTGGAAATTGTATGATTACTACATGCATAATTGATCTGAGGGTAGTTTGATAGGTAGTTTAGTGCTTTTAAAGTGTGCCTGAAATGGATACGAGTTTAAGAAATAATACATGAATAAATAAGTCTTTGTTAGAAATGATCAATGATTATATCACAGATTCTTACCTTCTCTTAGTGTTGTAGAGCTGAAACTTTTCTCATCACTCGGTTTAATTTCAAATTGATGTAATGTAATTCTTTTTCCAGCTCCACAGCATACAAAAAGAGTCTAGAAGATAATTTAGGAGGAGATAGTGATTGATTAATATACTTTCATGTATGAAGAGATAGCAGGTACCTATTGTGAAATGCTTTGAGTGAGAAGATAGTCTTATAAGCTCCTAAAACATACCTTGTTTAACCAGTTACAGATAGAATATTCTCAAGGTATCTGGAGAACAGTATCTGATGTGCATATCAAATATAAATGGCAGTTCCTATTACTTAGAGATGTAGGGATGAAAGAAATGATCTCTTGCTTTTTAAGCAAATGGAGTTATATGGTTTATTTTTAAAATTGGGTAGAAAATTTCTTAAAATGGCATCTCAACAAGGTTGTGGGTTCAGGAAAATAATGTGTGTAACTCATGTCCTCAATCCCCATATTATGACATCCCATAATTCCCTAGATAGAACAAGTGCTTACTCTCGGAATTCTTGTTGAGTGACAGGCTGGTAGTCTTGGTAGTCTTCTTCAATTTCTGTAGAATAATACTTTTTCTCAAGCCTGTCTTTCCATTTTTTCATCTTCTCTGCCCTTTGAATCTCCTGTCAAGTTAGAGGACAAGTTAAGTATAGAGTGTAGTCTTTATTTCTCTATTCCAAGTCTTTTGCACATAAGCATCACAGGGTTGAGGAATTTAAACTGTTCTGTACTCTCTAGGCCTCAGATTTGAGCCCCAGTGACATTTTGCCCTGCCTAAGTTTTAAGTCTATGCAAAGTCATTTCAGAGCACTTGTTTAGTGTAAGAGCTGTTTAGCATAGTTAGGGAAGTTTTTGTTTGTTTTAAATTATAAATTATTCTCATTTCACTGCCTTGTATCCCCATCTGAGATTTTTTTGTTTGTTTTTTAGGTTTTCTCCATTTGGTCAGAAGCTTAAATTTTCTTTCTGTACTTCTGTTATTTAATGTAGCAAATGTACTTCAGAGTACATCTGTGGGTATTTATTGCTCTCCCAGCAGCTTCCCAGCCAGGCTACTACAGACCTACCAAGTTTCCTCTTTGTATTTACTACATTGGTTAATTAACATGTGTATTCCAGTCTGCCCACATACCCCCAAACAAGCCCCGCATACCAGATTTGTGTTCTATGATTGTAAACAGGCCTTTCTGTGCATTGGTCTACCATCCACTTTCCTTATAGTATCCAAATATCATTTTCCCAGTTTGAGAAAAAAATGCCCCGTATGTGGTGGAAAATAGGGACAGCTGAAGAAGAGTAGGAAAGAGGAGACAGTGCACCCAGATGTAATTTATAGACTTCTCAGCAAATTATTATAGTACTGCCCTGCTCGAGCAATAAGGCTAGGTAGCAAAATGGATCTCTTTTCAAAGGTTCTTATTGTTCCTCAAAAAGGATATGTCTAACTTCATTTACTATGTGTATTCTCCTGATCAGAGAAACTTGGTGTCTTTCTCTAAACCAGTATACCCGAAGTAGGAAAGGGTACTTTCAGTCTTGCTAATTTTATTTTAGACATATTACAGCTTCCATGTATTAGGATATTTACTAATACTTCTAATGTGGTGTTAAAGTGATAGACCTCAAAACCATTTCTAAGTGACCAGTCCAATTATAAGGTGAATGCCTAAATAGTAAAGACTAAATAGACCGTGCATGGTAAACTTTACTCATCCTTCAAGAAACCCATCTCGTCTGTCACTTTTGCTGTGAAGGCTCCCTTGACATTCATAGGAAAGTACTACTTTTCCTGGGCAGAGCACCAGCTCTTTGAGGGAGCTCTTCCTCCAAGCTCCTAAATTCTGGTCACCCTACCCTCCTCCCTTGTAGGGAGCTGTTTCCTGATGTTGTTTCTGGATTAACTTGGTGTCTACATTACCCCTGTAGTCTTCTAATACTTCAGGAATGAACTCTTTGTACTAAACCACCTCTTTTTGAACTGCCCAATGTGATTTCTTTTTCTGACTGAACTCTTAAATGATGAATATTTGTTAGCAGGGCAGGTACAAAGAAATAGACATATATAGATAGCACGTTTCCATCGAGGTAAGCAACAGTTGACTTAAGAATTATAGACTAACAGGCCAGGTTCCATGGTTCACACCTGTATTCTAGCACTTTAGGAGGCCAAAGTAGGAGGATCACTTAAGCCCAGGAGTTTGAGGTTGCAGTGAGCTATGATGACTCTACTGTACTCTAGCCTAGGTTACCCAGGGAGACCCTGTCTCTCAAAAAAGATTAAAAAGAGAACAACTTGTCTATTTGGGATTCTTCATACTGCAGAACCAGCAGCCAAAGAAGTGGTTACTTAACCAGGGTGATTAAGTTACCAAGGAGAAATTAGGTTATTGCTACAAAATTGTTAAGAGATGGCTATATTTGGAACCCAGGAGACTCTTTGGGATCCCTCTTAATATCCATGGCCAAAATTAAAAGGTAGTGGGAAAACAGCATTCTGTTAAAGGCAGGACAGGAACACTGAGTTTAGATTCTGAACTAAAGAAGGTTCAGTTCATCCTAATGCAGCCAGCAGTCTTGGTAGTGGACAAGGAGAAGGATATGGAATGGATAGGAGAAAAGTTATAAATAACAACTATAGTCTTGTCATTTATTATAGAAAAAAGGACAAGTTATAAATAACTACAATCTTGTCATCTATTACAGAAAAAAGGACAGTGGCCTCTGCATGTTTGCTTGTAATATACATATATATTTATCTAAGGAATATTTGGTGGTGGTTAACTTTGTAGTTTAAACATTAGGTTACAAAATATTCTTAGGGAGTTGTAGTTGTGATACAACTAGAAAGGGTCTTAACATCATCCATAGATAAATACAATTAGTGTTGGGGCTTTGCTTTCTTTTTAGGAAGAAGATAAAAGCACACCATGTATATAAAGGATGGTTCCATCTTGTTTGAACATTATTATTATTTTATGGGAGTGCTCTATGATGCTGAGTTTTAGGCTTTGCAAACCTCATTCCTCATACTCTTGCTAGATGGATTTCTGTTAGAACCTGCCAGTATTGGGGAGATAGAAGGGAGGGAGGGTCATCTTGGGTTTGGGAGATTTTCCGCCCATTGCTATTTGGCATTGCTTATGCAGTTGTAGTTATTTCAGCAGCAGTTGCTCCAGACTGCAACATCCAGCTTCTTTTAGGATACCCAGAATCTGTCTCATCACAACCCCTTAAAAGTACAGGTTGAATATATATTCCTAATCTCAAAATGCTCCACAATCTGAAACTTTTTTGAATACCTACATATGATGTTCAAAGGAAATGCTCATTAGAGCATTTTGGATTTCATACTTTTAAATTAGGAATGCTGAACCAGTATATAATGTCGATAATTCAAAATCCAAAATATCTGAAATCTGAAACACTTCTGATAATGAGCATTTCAGATAAGTGGTACTCAACTGGTATAAACAGCATGGCAGTGGCGGTGGAAGGTTGATAGATAGGAGGTACCTTCTCAGAGTACTGAGTAATAAGCTCCACAAGTCCCTTCTTCACAGCTACTAGGATCAGGTAACCCTATCTTGTATAACCAGAGCACAGTTAGTTGTGAGTTGCCTCTGTGTTCTCAATTTATAATTTTTGTCTTCTTTTAAATAATATCTGTGTACTAACCAAATCCCTGTAGTATATTTTCTCTGTATGAAATACGTATTGGGGTTTCTTTTTTTCTGAGCAGGCTATAGGCATAGTGTTTCCTCATTTGGTTAAGTGTATTTTTGTGTCTCAAGGACTGCTTAAATTTTCCTTGCTTTGGTTTTGAACATTTTTGATAATTGCTAGGCATTTTCTACTTTGTTGCTATTATGAATAGGGTCTAATATTATAATTAACAAAGTGATGTTTGCATATATGACATTATGTAAATTATTTTGCCTACTACTTTACGAAATTCTTTTTGTTTTAATTTTCCAGTTCATTGTACCTAGAAAATCATATCTCAAATAAAGGCAGTTTTATTTCCCCCTTTCTATTCTTGAACTTCTAATGCATTTTTCTTCATTGTTTTGACTGATTTCCTCTAATACATCACTGCTTGTCCCTGACATGTCCAATGTGTTTTCTATTATTAAGTAAGGTTATAATTGAGAAGATGAGATAAATGTTCTTATCATATTGAGTATGTATAATTGATTCTTATTTTGTTTTATTTTCCTTTTCAAAATTTGGTGTTAAAAGTTATAAGATACTTAGGATGTGTGTGAAATGATGTAATTTTCCTCTATAGCGCCCACCACAATGCCCAGCTATTTTTAGAGATGAAGTCTTGCTGTAGCTCAGGCTGTTCTTGAACCCCTGAGCTCAGGCAGTCCACCTGCGTCAGCTTCCCAGAGTGCTAGGATTACAGGTATGAGCCACTGCGCCTGACCATTAATTTTTCTGTTTTTTTTTGGTAGAGACAGAGTCTTGCTTTTGCTCAGCTGGTCTCAAACTCCTGGCCTCAAGCAGTTCTCCCACCTCACCCTCCCAAAGTGTAAGGATTATTGGTGTGAGCCACTGTGCCAGACCCTGGATTCAGTTTTGATAGCATTTATTTATTTATTTATTTATTCATTCATTCATTCATTCATTTATTTTGAGACAGAGCCTCAAGCTGTTGCCCTGGGTAGAGTGCTGTGGTATCAGAGCTCACAGCAACTTCAAACTCGTGGGTTTAAGCAATTCTCTTGCCTCCACTTCCCAAGTAGCTGGGACCACAGGCACCTGCCACAATGCCTGGCTATTATTATTATTATTATTATTATTATTTTGGTTGCAGCCATCATTGTTGTTTGGCGGGCCAGGCTGGATTCGAACCCACCACCTTAGGTGTATGTGGCTGGTGCCTTAGCCACTTGAGCCACAACATCTTAAAGTTCATTTTAACTGTCAGCCTTTTCATTTTTGTAACTCCTTTATCTGACAATAAGAAACTTCACTCCAGTATTTGCTTGCTTATTCTAGTCTCCTAATCCTGGTGTTATCTTTCTGAGCATTTGTGGGGGCAGCAGCGTAGAGGGTGACCAGAAAAATGTCAGTGTTCTATTTTAGTTTTTTTAGTTGTGTGATAGTGGTATGTATTTCTTGAATTCATATATATGTTCTTTAAATTCCACATTTGTTGAATACATAATAATTTTTGAAATATAAAAAATGAAATCATTAAAATAATTTATCATCTTAATGATTATAAGAGAAGAACTATTTAATCATCTCAATAGAGTATAACTCACTATAAATACCCAGTGTTAAAATCCACAGTGAGTGTACACCTGCAGTTGTACACTCAGGCTGAGAGTACCAGTAGAGAGAGAAGGTGTCTGGACTCCAAATAGTTTGTGCTAAATGAGATCTGTTTGGAGGTAGAACTACTGCTTAGAAAACAAATCTTTTCAATTCTTAACTTAAACTTGCCATAAGCATGTTTCTAATACAGCTACCACTTTTGTTTACGAAAAATTAAAATCTTACATTTTCATCAAAGCCTTCTTTTCTAGCTTGTTCAGCCAAATCTCTGCTGCTTTTGCTTCTGAGAATATAAAGTAAAAATTAAAGGCATGTGACAGTAAAGAGGGAAATGCCACCATAAAATACGAGATCTGAATTGTATTTCTTTCTGATAACAAATGCTAGTTATTTGGGGAATGTTTTTATTAGTATGTACTTCAGATTATTTAAATTATGTCAATAACTTAAAAAAGTTATGCCTTACTGCCAGAGGCTTGGGTTCAGGAAGCATTCTGACAGTAAAATCATTAAAGGTATTATATAAGTATTGTATGTAAAATGTTTTTATTTTGATAGTTAAATACATTTAATGTAATGTAGACTAAAATCATTTCTAATTTTTTTAGAGAGACTATTCTCTTCCCTAGATTGCTCTTAAAAGTTTCTCTGAGTGACAGACATGGCAATGCATTATATTAATTTTAAATTAGCTTAGAGTTTTATGCTCAGAAATCAGGAGCCACGACTGGACATACTGACAACATATTTAGAATCACCACATAGGATGGTGGTTGTCTTGAAATCCAAACTTTATTTGCTGTTAGTTTCTTATAGAATGTGGAACTTTAAAATGGTAAGTTATTAAAAAAAAAAAAGGGTAAGTTATAAATTTGAGAAAGGTAATCTTACATTTTGTCTTCATCTTTTTCAGGTTTCTTCAGTCTGAATTTCTTAAGAACATTTGTATAACTCTGGGCATAATTAAAAATAGTTTGAGAATTCACCCCAAATGTATCCTATATTGTTAATATTTAAGCAAAGTAAAGAAATCTGGAATGCTTATTTCTAGGGGCTGCTACCCTAAGGAAATGTGGAGGCAAAATGCTATGACCTTTGTTACTAACTTTCTTGTTACTACTGATACTTTCAGCCTATTGGTGAAAAGAGGCCTCTTCTCTTAAGGGGAATGGCACTTGAACTTGTAAAAAGCAAAAATCTAATAAAAGTATTAAAATATATTGCATTAAGAATAGTAACACTTTTACAATGCATATAACCAGCATCATACCCAAAAGATGGGGAAAAAAACCTCAATTGAGTTTATTACGGGACATCTTAATAGTTTTCCTTTATAGATAAGTTCTTGGACATAATTCTTAAACCCCACTCACCCCACAGTTACTGGGACCTTTTTGGTGTGAAGTGCTTTGCCTAAAGCTATGCAGTATGCAGAGGTGGCTAAGCTGGTAGGGGAGGTGTGACCATCACTCATAAAACTCTGCTACAACTCAAAGTGAGATAGGTGTCTAGGGGACAAAGCAGATCCTACTCTTTCAAGGAGAACAGAATGTTAACAAGAGAGATAAGAGCCATAGCAATATTTCAGGGGTCAGAGAATTACCAGAGCTAAAGCCCAGAGGAAAGTGAGAGCAAGCGATGTATTCAAAACAGATTAGCTGGGATGTAACAGTGCTATAGAGACAGAAAGGTATAAACACTATAAAATGATAGTTAATAATGATGGATTGAGACTATGACACCTGAGGAGGACTTGGAATGTTTGAGTAAGGAATTTGGACTTATTTTGATAGACCCAAGGAAACTGATATGATCACATCTGGACTAACATGGTGAAGAAGCTAGAACAGTTACGATGATGTTACCATACAAAAGGCTGAGTGAAAAGTACTGAAGGCCCTAACCTAGTTGGAATTCAAAGTGTCCTTGAATTTCACAAGTGTAAGCAAGAGCTACAGAGATAAACCACACGTAAGCCTTGACAGATGACTATATAAAGGACAAGGAAATAAAGTCTTTTCAAGGTTTCTGAGCCAGGAGTGACTGAGAGAAGTGTTGTCATTAACAGAACAGGAAAATAAAGACAAGGCACATGGAGTTCTGAGTTTGTATTGCTTACAGAAATGTGCCAGCATCTAAATTGAAAACTTTTTTGAGGGACAAGTTAGTTTTATTATAACATCAACAGTACTTTTTATTTTGGAAATAGTAACTATTTCATATGTAGAACTCTGAAGTAATTTCCACTGCATTTTTAAAGCCAGAGAAGATCTCTCTTCCCTAGTAGAATAACACTGGATTGAAACAGAAAACAAAACCCAAGGCATATGAGTATGTGTGGGGTGTGGGGTGGGGAGTTCAAACTATAAATGTATAAGCTGAGTAAGATTTGTCCTAGAATTCTAATTAGGAATAGAATTTGATTTACCTTTTTAATCATTTTACCAAGTTCAAAATCTGGTCTTCTGCCTATTGAATAATCAGCTTTCACTTCAGAATAAGTATCATTGATTATTGCCAAGAACATATTCTGGGGAGAAATACTCAAATAATTATGATGATAAAAGTTTAAATGTTGTTAGTGACTTTAACAAGTGCTGGAGTTATAAAATTCAATTTAAATTTTAAAAGCAACCCATATTCTCAATAATAGGGAATAGGCTATGCAGACCACAATAGAATAAAATGGGAAATGTGTGTGGGGATGGGCAAATATGTTTATGGCAAATGAGGAAAGGAGAATGTGAAATAATGCGTATGAACTGGTTAACATATACGTTAACCAATATCCCATATCAGAAGACAATTTAGAATGAGGTAATTATATGTTGGTAAGGGTGTTTTTTTGTTTTGTTTTGTTTTGTTTTTTGAGACGGAGCCTCAAGCTATCCCCCTGGGTAGAGTGCCATGGCATCACAGCTCATAGCAACCTCCAACTCCTGGGCTCAAGCGAGTCTTCTGCCTCAGCCTCCCAAGTAGCTGAGACTACAGGCACCCGCCACAATGCCCGGCAATTTTTTTGGTTGCAGCCATCGTCGTTTGGCAGGCCTGGGCTGGGGATTCGAACCCGCCACCTTAGGTGTATGTGGCTGGCGCCTTAGCCGCTTGAGCCACAGGCGTCGAGCCCGTAAGGGTGTTTTTGATTCTATGAAGCTGCTTCAATTTGCAGTCTTACTAAGGCTCCTACAACTACTAATGTTCAGATAACACAAATCTAGAGAGCATATTCTTACTCCAGTCCACCTCCCCACTTTTCATAGTGGCCCAGTTCTGTCATCCTAAGACTCTTGGCCAGAGGTAGAAATATTTTCTGGCATGACAAAGTTTTTTCATGCCTTGATTAGACTTGTTCTGGTGCATGTGAGAGACCCATCCTAGATGTGACTCCTAGGAATCTCAAAGGGTTGTGAGCTTTCATCTGTAAGAGCCAAAAGGCATTGCAATATGAACAGAATATTAATAATTGAATTCATACTTCATGATGTGGGCTGTCCCAGCCTTGCAAGACATAGGACATTCAGGTTATTTATTTAAGGGATTTAGCACATTCTTGTCTAATATAATCACCCAGATGTAAGTATTGTGATCACATTCTTCATTGGACAACATCAAACATTAGTCACTAGAAAATTTTGATTACAAAGAATCCATACCATTCTTAATAAATACCTAGTGTTCTAACAGCTAAGCAGTACTATAATTTCTAAATGAGTAATTTCAATTTTTTCAAACTGTTGTTGCCCTGGGTAGAATACTGTGGCATCACAGCTCACAGCAACCTCCAACTCCTGGGCTCAAGTAATTGTCCCTCCGCCTCCCAAATAACTAGGACTACAAACACCTGCCACAACACCAGGCTATTTTTTGGTTGCAGCTGTCATTGTTTGGCGGGCCTGGGCTGGATTTGAACCCACCAGCTTAGGTGTATGTGGCTGGCGCCTTAGCCACTTGAGCCACAGGTGCTGAGCTGAGTAATTTCAATTTTTATTCTAAAAAAGCCCACCGCCCTCCCCCACCAAAGGAACACATGGTCATTCTTACCAGCAGGACAAAGAACACAAAAAAGATGAAAGTGATGAAGTAAATAGGTCCCAAGATCCAATTGGCTTGCTGAATCCCAGCGAAATTAAAATCTCCAAGAACAATTCGAAATTGTGCAAATCTTTGATGGGAAGAAAGACAATATCTGTTCACATACACACGTGACAACTGATAGGGGTTACTATTTAATAATGTCTCTAAGAAAGTAGCTGTTCATGGCTAATGTTTGGTACAGAGTTCCCTAACACTGGATATAAAAAATTCTCCTAAAGGCAAGACTTGAGATATTTCAATAGCTGAACAGGTAATGTAGGGAACAACGGGCTTCAGTTTATTTAACCAATGTGAACTTAATGTTCACCTATAAGATTTGAACCTTGGAGTATCTGTTAACTAGTTGGTTTTGGCAGTGGCCTCCATGGCCATTCCTTTTTCCTGTAAAACTTAGAATGTTCTGACTTAAGCCAACAAATGATTTTTCAACTTGTACCTAGACTCAATGACAGTGATGTGTTTTAACCAATAAAACCAGGATGCCAACAGTTTGTTACTTGCTATTCTCAAGTTCTGATAATGATCCTCAATGTGATCTTAAGGTTTATTTTATCCTTTCCTTTTTTTTTTTTGAGACAGAGCCTCAAGCTGTCACCCT